CAAGTGGTAGTATAGACGTAATCTTTGTATCTCGAAAAATACACTGAGAAAAAAAGTTGTTAATCCCAAGAAATATTTAGTTCGATACGTTCAACTAAACATTTTAGTTAGTTAACTAAATATTAGTTGTTTCAACAATTTATTTCGTTTCTTTAATCAAGAATTAATTAATTCAACTAATGTTTAGTTAACTAACTAAAATGTTTAGTTGAACGTATCGGACTAAATATTTCTTGGGATTGACAAATTTTTTTTCTCAGTGTATGTTCTCTGTAATTTGCGCTGTAATTTAAAAAGAGATATCATTTCTTTTTTGTAATTGTAATAATAGATCACTTGAAGTGCGACTCATTTTTGATAAGGTAACGTAATTTTGTGATGTGTATCACTTGAGTTATAATTTTTTGGAAATGAAAATACTACTGCTTAGGTTTTTTCGAGATTTTTGGAGATACAAAGATTACGTCTACCACTTGTTACTTAGTTTTTTTCGAGGTATAATACTACCACTTTGTTTTTTTTTTTAGGTAACAACATAATACATATACACTACTATGCGTGTACTTGGCGCCTTTGTTTACTTTTTTTTTTGAAAAAGGTAATTTTGTACGGATATCACGCCTTTTTGTAGTGTTACGCATCTTAATCTTAACAGAAAAAAATTACACCTTATAAAGAAATGTGTCTGAAGTTGTTAATATATATAATATATACATTGCCGGACATTGCTTTTATGTAAAATATGCATCTATATTATGTTGCTTGTAAAAATTATTTTTTATCAACTTTTTTTAAAAATAATAAATTGTGAAACATTTTAAGACTAAAACCAATTCGCTATCTGTATTTTAACTGGTACTTTACTCTTGTACGTATGGGGTACTCACGTTCGAGTTGGCCAAAAGTCTTGTTTTTATTTTTCCGCTACGTGCCCTACGAGCGGAAATATTGCGACGCAAAGTTGAAATGTGAAAATATTATATTAAGATATTTCTACTAACGTCGACGTCTCTCAATATATGACATATATACCATATATCAGAGAAATGTAACTTTCACTTTTTCGACACTGGTCGATAGATTTATCAGTCAGGAAGAAGATTTCTATTTAGGTAAATTATTAGAAAATAATATTAACAGGTCGCTTATCGCAATTTTTTATTTTTTATTTAGTAAGATAGAAAAAATTTTATAACAATGCACATCAGAATAATGAGACGAATCGGTATGAAAAAAAGACATAGTTGCTTTTAAGAAAAAGTATGCAGATGCGTGTTGCAAATTACATATTTTTTCTTAAAGGAACAATGCCTTTTTTTATTTCACAAACTTCACAAATTTCACTATCTAACAAACAGTAATACAGCATTGCTCCACATAGATTTTTGTAGTAAATTTACCGCTTTACAAAAAATATTTTTTTTTAATTTTTTCATAAATTTAACTGTTCAAAAGAGTGTCTGTGAAGTTGGCATATCATTTTCCAGCAGATCAAAAATAAAAGGCAGTTCTTGTCGCATGCAGTCGAGTTCTATAGTTCCTGATACTTTTTAGTAATAGTTCAAAGTTAATAGTAATAGTTCAAAAGATATTCAAAGTTAAAGTTTGATAAATTTTATAAAACTTGTTTTTGCTTCTTATGAATTTTGTATCATATCAACTGTCAAAAATTATGAAATAATCAATACATATTTTTGTAGAAACAATCTACAAAAAAGGTCTTATATTTTTTTCATAAATAAAACCATTTAGACGATATTAAGGTTTAAAGTTCAAAGTGTATAAAAATTATTCTTTTTTTTTTATATTAAATAAATAAAGCTCAGAATTTTGTTATAATATAAAAAAAAAAAATTAACAAGCACAGTAACAACTGTGCCGCAATCAACACGTAGAACTACGTCTATTAGAATAGAACATATATGGAAGAGGCATTGAACATCGAGTCTGTGTCCGACATCGTGCGAGAGAGAAACGTTAATTGTGCGAGAGAGAAAGGTAGTGAAGCCTAATCGTCCGCAATGCGCATACGCAGATATCGATAACCATATAGTACTATTTCATGTTAAAGTATTCAGCGAAAGAAACTAGACGTAGGGCTACGTCAACTGTCAGTTGACGTAGTTCGACGTTGTTGGCACAAACTGTGCCGCAAGCAACAACGTAATTTTTTCGGGAAATAATTGATCGAATTTCAAAATGTGAAAGCAGCAACTTCATAACATAACACAGACAATTTCATTCATTCACAACAATCAATTGCACAACATTCATCCATTCATTCATTTATCAATTTATCCATTCATTCATTCATTCATTCATCCATTCATATATTTATTTATTAAATCCATTCATCCATTCACCCATTCATCCATTCATCCATTCATTCATTTATAAATCCATTCATCCATTCACCAATTTATTCATTCACCATTTATTCATTCATCCATTCATCCATTCATCCATTCATTCATTCATTTATGTATTTATTAAATCCATTCATCCATTTATTCATTCATTTATTTATGAAATTGCGAAAACCCATAGCTTACATCGAGATCTTTCAAAAATTATATAATAAAGTATATTTTTCTTTAATACTTTTCCAGAACAAACCCATATCGAAAAATTAACCACGAAAACATTTAGCTTACATCGAGAACTTTCAAAAACTATATAATAAAGTATATTTTTCTTTAATACTTTTCGAGAAAAAGAAAACGTTGCATGAAAACGTTGCAAGAAAACGTTGCATGAAAACGTTGCATAAAAACGTTGCAAGAAAACGTTGCAGTCGTACCCCCATACCCCCCGAGAAAGACGTAGTTCTACGTCAAAATAATTTTTATACACTGAACTTTAAACCTTAATATCGTCTAAATAATTATATTTATGAAAAATATATAAGACCTTTTTTGTAGATCGTTAAATTTTCTACAAAAATATGTATTGATTATTTCATAATTTTTGATAGTCGATATTATAAAATTTATCAAACTTTGAATATCTTTTGAACGGTTGAATTTATGAAAAAATGATAAGAGATTTTTTTTGTAAAGCGATAAATTTACTACAAAAATCTATGTGAAGCAATGCTGTATTACTGTTTGTTAGATAGTTATAAAATTTTTTCTATCTTACTAAATGAAAAATAACAAAATCGCGATAAGCGACCTGTTAATATTAATTAATATTAAGGGGATCCTGCAGCCGTATGATTTACCGACATTATCGTTAACCGATGGATTTTTTAATTGGCTTTACAGAATTGCAAGTTTTTGGTCCAGAATTAAAGTCCGCACAAAAATCTAGGGTGGAAAACGCGATTTTATATCAAAAGCACCAAAAAATTAAAAATATTACTTATTGGGGCACATACACAGCTGTCACCTGACGACAATATTTGCTTAAAACAAAAATTCTACAGTTTATACGTACATACATAATGTTTATCATCCACCCTTGGGAAAACATGTAGGAATAATATCGTGTAAGTAGAAGTAAGATTCAATGCGTACAAAAAAAGATCCATCTAATAATTATTTTAGTAATGCAAATACGGATGCAAATGACAAGAAGAGCAGCAACAATAGTTGCCGGATCTTGCGTAAGATGGCGAGCAATCGAAAAAAGGACAGATGTCATTTTGTTAGACAAAGACAGATATAGAGAAAACAAAATTGGAAAGGTTGACATTATCGACATCGAGGAAGTTCGCCAGTCACTGCAGGATCCCCTTAAGGGCTCAAACTTTAACAGGTATCTTATTTTACCCTCCTGCAAGTATATATGCTATTCGTGAAATAAAAAAAGGCATTGTTCCTTTAAGAAAAAATATGTAATTTGCAACACGCATCTGCATACTTTTTCTTAAAAGCAACTATGTCTTTTTTTCATACCGATTCGTCTCATTATTCTGTGCATAAAAGTACCGAAAACTTAATGTTTTACAAGATATTTTGTATTTTATGTCAAAATATACTAGAACTTTCAAGCCTTATAGTTCCAAAAGTTCTTAATTTTGAAAAACTTTTGAGATTAGCTACGAGAATATGCATTGAAAAATAGGGGTTTCCATTTAAGAAATTAAAGGTGTCGTTTACATGAGGTTTAAACGACCATCCATGGTTAAACCAATGACACCATCTTATGGCCCCCTCGAAACTAAATAGCTTTTGTCTGAAATATTTTTTTCTCCCGGGCTTGGTTCTCGAGATATTCGACTGGATGGATTAAAATGGTCCACCCTGTATAATCAGATCCAAAATTTGGGTACTATAAAGTACTAACTTGGGTATACTTAACATAAAGATAAGATCATATTTCTAAATTTCGGAGGATTCTACGACGGTGGACGTGGTGGTAGCACTATCAATCAAACATTTAACATGTGGTAAAATGTTTGATTGATACACGCGCGCGCGCACACACACACACACACACCAACACACACACACACAACGTTCGTGATGAAAAAAGGCTGCAAACGTTTTGTTTTTCCTTTACTTTTATTTTTATTTTTATTTACACGCGTCGAAACAGAAAATTTTTTTTTTACACGCGTCAAAGCAGAAAATTTCTTCTTGTAAATCCATGCGAAACATGCATGGGTACAATGTATAATCAACGGACATTATATATATTTCAACTTTTATTTATTGTATTACAATTATTAATAAAATTATATAATTTCCTTCATTCACGGTCGTACTTATTCGTATCCTGCGCCGTGACATGTCATAAGTACGTTCCGAGCTCATGTGTACCAATGGGCCTGCTTAGTCTGCCTAATATATTAACATTTTTTGTCATATTTTGTAAAGGTTTATCTATGGTAATTTCATAAAGGAATCATTCCGCCGCACATGATAAAAATTGGAATACATTATACGTAGAGTTTAAAAATGTAAAGATTTTTTGCATAAATACATTGTCATATTTATATTTAACAGACTGTTAAATCTACGTATAATTTTCTGCAAAAATTAATGATGTTACAATCACGCCAATATTTGTTCTACTGCCCTAAAAAATAAACAAAGTTTTATATATATTGCATAAATATACATTTCAGACATAAAGAAACGAGTAAGAATTAAAATAACAATTTTAGCCGAATAAATATATTATAATTTCTCTCTACAACTAATTTTGCATGTGAATATCTTAATGAGGACAAAAAAATGATTTGAAAATGTTCTTTATCAATTCTTTTACAGACTGCGGAGAGAGTGTTACAAGATACATGTGGTGCAACAATAAAAGTAAAGTTTTATGGAAATGCATCTATCGGATTCTACAAATACAAATATCCCATGAAGCTTTGCGAGCAAAGAAGTTATGGTGCTAAATATTTTATTTCTTAGTCAAACATATGGATGGAGATATCAACAATAACGAAGTATATCAAAATACCAGTTGGATCATGAAGAATTAGAAAAAGTATTACCTACTGGAGTACAACAGAGTATTTCACAATTTATGTTTACGTAAAAAAAAATAATAATAATATAAAATATTGAACTCATTCTTTGATCTCTTATTATTAATATTGTCTATTATTACCGTAATATTAACATTATAATTAGCGAAATATTTAAAATAATTGCAAATACAAAATAAGAGAATAACGGACGAGAGGATCAAACCTTCTTGAATTAGCGACGGTTTGTCTATCTTCGTTCTCTACGCCTAGTGCCTTTGGAAGCGGAGCAGCTCCTCCGGTCATTAAAACTAAGAACATTTTCTTTGCTTTTGCGGTATTCGGAAAATCGACAACCACACCGCCATAAAAGCCAGCTTTTGTGGCTTGTGCCGTGATTAATTCAACCTGTTCACCGTTCTCTGGATAGAATTGTAACACTGCTCTTGCGCTTCTTGACAGGCATGCATACAACGTTGAGAAGAAACGATATAAACGTTTTGTAGGATTGTGCGAAGTTTTGCTTGCATAGCACAACCACTGAAGCGCAGAAATATTGACAGCCCCATCAAACGTACCAGCTTTAAATAGCAATCCTTGACCTATATCTCCCAAAATTAAGTCACCATCTAATTCTCTTTCATCAACAGCTACGTCGAAAAATAATGTGTTAATATGATTATATATCAAGATATATATATGTATCTTTCACGCAAATTTTTACAGACAGCGTTACTAGCAACGTGCACAACTTTATTTGAGGTTATAATTGGGTACAACATTCATCGCACGATACTGTTATAATTGCAAATCGGAAACGTACCTCGAGTCCAGCTCTTCTGCGATCAACGAAGTCGGGATCGAACGTGTCAGTCGTCACTTTCTGCCAAGCGTATAGAATCTTCTGTTCCGGCAGCGGTGCAATGGTAACACGATGTAGGGATACGAAATCTCCAGATGACTTCCGGTTCCGCCACCGTGGCGTGCGCACGGTGACGAGTTTTCGCTCGCATTATAATTGTTGCGTGTACTCGAATCGCGGATTATTGGATTTATTCTGCGCGCTCTGCGTGTACAGGCGCATCCGCTGTTTTCCGGGAGTCATTATTTCCGGGGCTTTTCCTGGTTACTGCGTGTGAGAAATCTTTCCTTCGCGAGTGGGGCAGCTAACCTCACTCTTAGCCGACATGTCGGCAGGGGACGATCCCCCGTCCCCCGTTTCGCCTAATTATGAAGAAATAAGAGACGATTTCCAGTCATTTCTGTCGCAATCGGAGAAAAGTAATCAGGCTACAACAGAGAATGTCATGGATGTTGTAGAGGAAACGAGAAAGCGTTCCCTTCCCATTTCTTCCACCGAAGATGAGGAGGAGACTATTGAATCCATCTCGAATGTTAAAAGCAACAAGAAGAGGCAAGGCAACCCTACTACATCCGGTTCTTCCCCGAAGTAAGCAGGAAAACAATCTCAGGATACACCGGTACAACCAAAGATGAAGGCAGTTAATAAGGGGGTTTCTAACCTGCCAAATAATAATCAGGGCAATAAGCCTGGTGCAAGTGAGATTCCAGTTATATATGGTGCTTATACAAAAGCTCCTTTCATTGTTTTTTTTCGTATGCCTACGGCAAAGGACCAGCCCAGAAAACGCATCTCTATTCTTACAATGGCAAAGAAACTTATGTCAGCAAATGTGAAATATGAGAGTGTTGCGCCTTTCTCGTTTAATACATGGAAAGTTACATTCCCGTCAAAAGCTGCGGCTAATGCAGCTCTCAAGAATAAGTATATTAAAGAAGCTGGATTTTTAACTTATATCCCAAAATATAAGTTAACTCGACAATTTGTGATTAGAAGTATTCTCCTTGATTTCTCTCTGACTGATTTAAAAAATACAATCGAGGATGAGAATCAAGACATTCTTATTCTGGATCTCTTTAGACTAAAAAGAAGGGATCGTACTACTGGTATATGGTCGGACTCGCAAGCGGTCTGCATTCAGAAGATGGGAGAGGATCTTCCGGATCACATCAAAATCTTCAAGACAATAGTTCACACGTCACCATTTCAAAGGTCGGTACGGATGTGCTTTAACTGCGGCCTTTTTGGACACTTGGCAAAATTTTGTGAAAAAAATCCTAGATGTCTGCAATGCGGAAGCGAGGATCACACAAATTTTAAAGAGGCTCTCTGCATTAAGCCAAAGAAGTGTATAAATTGCGAGGAGGAGCATGTTATAGCAGAGGTAGAGAGGAATGTGGTGAGGGGGTAGCCGGAATAAAGTAGCTTGATTTGAACCGTACGTTCACACTTTATTGTTCTCTTAACACGAGGACGACCGGTTGCGATGGCGTTACAGACGACTCTGTTCTAACTTGGGGGGAAACTCGTGGTCGCGCGTACAACGCTCGCAGCGCACCCGACTATAGCCGAACATCCTCGAGCGTCTCCGATCACAGCATCGAGAATGCTCGGCTTCCGACTAAAGGCCGATTCACAGATGCGCGTCAAACTATTTTGCCCTAACAGAGCATGCTACCAGTGACAGGAAATGTCCCAAATATTTGAAGAATCTCGAGATCTCAAAGGTAATGGCTGTTGACAACTTGCCCTTCATGGAGGCAAGGGCTCTGGTACAGAAGAGGGAAAAAGGCTGTCCGTTCGTCGATGATCGGCGACCACCAGTTTTTTCTTCGAAGAATTTTCCTCCACTTCCTTCGAAGGGAGGGATCCAGATGTCAAACATTCCGGCTAGTCTTCAGTCTAGTCCAAGAGGAAGGTCATTTGCTGCAAGTCTTACCCATTGTGCTCCGGAAATCTCATCCAGGCTTCTGGAAATTATGGAAAGGGCGTCTGCCATGAAGCAGATAGATGTCTTGCTGAATAGGCTGGAGAATACCTTAAAACTTCACGAGGGAACCACCAAGGAATAATGCTAAGTTTTTTTCTTTTCTTTTGTTTTAGCGCTCTTTTTTTTATATATACAGGGTGTCCGAAAAATCGCCTACTCCACTTCGGGAGGTGATTCGGGACCCAAACACAAGCAAAAAAGTTCATACAAACATAGGTCCGGAAATGAGCCGTTTCCGAGTTATAGCCACTTTTATGTTCAAAAATCGTAAATTTTTATTTTCAATTTTTTTAAATTACAATTACCAAATTCTCTCAAGTTTTTGTCTACATTTCGAAAAGACGCTATTCCCGGTACATCTCGATTTGGAAAAGACTGGATGTATAATCTTCTTGCCTCGGCAGCATTACTTTGAGCAAGACCATACATAAGATGCATATCAGCTAATTCATTAAAACTTAAACGATCCATTGATGAATACGGAAAGGTTAGATATACAACCTAAAAGTAAGGTGTTGTTAAATAATAATTTGAAACTTATTGAAAAGCCGTGATTTACTTACTGATTTTGAATAGGCGTGAAAACAACTGATTTTGAATAGCCGTGAAAACAACTGATTTTGAATAGCCGTGAAAACAACTGATTTCAAGTAGCCGTGAAAACAACTGATTTTTTTTTTTAAATAATGTAATCGTTACAAATATTGAAAAATTGAAAAAAAAAAAAAATTAAAAATATTTAAAAATAAAAATTTTTAATTTAAGAAATAATTAAGAAAGAGGGATGCCAAGCGGATTCTAAATTTTGATTTTAGAACATAAAAGTGGCTATAACTCGGAAACGGCTCATTTCCGGACCTATGTTTGTATGAACTTTTTTGCTTGTTTTTGGGTCCCGAATCACCTCCCAAAGTGGAGTAGGCGATTTTTCGGACACCCTGTATATATATAAATTTTAAGTACTTTGATTTATATCTTTTTTTGCACTACATCCTTGAGCGCATCTTATTATTTTGTATAGTTATCTATTTATATCTACCTTAAGGAGTTACTCTTACTATTTCTTTCACTTATATTTGTTCTCTTTATTACGCTTGAAATGGATAAATTTAGACTTGTACATTGGAATGCACATTCTGTTTTACAGCGTTTTCAGGAATTGGAAAAGCAGAGTACATTGTTCGACTGCGCTGCGATCTCGGAGACGTGGCTTAAACCGCAATTTAGCTTCATGATGAGAGGATTTGATACGGTTAGACGAGATAGAGTTATAGGCAGAGGCGGAGGGGTGGCTATTCTGGTCAGCCACTTTTTGAAATACAGAGAGGTTTCCGTGTTGGAGGACTGTGCGGGTAAAGTAGAAGCCTGTGCGATTGAGATTTTTTTCTCTGATATGAATCTTTTTATTGTATCTTGCTATAAGCCTCCACAGAGTGGCCAAATTTCTGAGAATGAATGGGTAAAATTCTTTACTCAGTTTGACGACCCTAATGGTATTGGAACTAATAGATGCATGTTTGTAGGAGACTTTAACTCTCATAGTCCGGCGTGGGGATCTTCCTTTCTCTGTCAGTCGGGTAGATCAATGTCTTCGGCAATCGAGGATACAGAACTCGTTCTTATAAGCGATGGTGCCCCGTCCTTTCTGGGTAACGTCTCGTGCGGCCCTTCAATCATAGATTTGGCATTTTGTCATGCTTCTATCGCTCCCAAATTCAGATGTCAGACGCTGAACGATGCCTGGGGTTCGGATCATTTCCCGGTTTTGATTACGTCTTCGGTGAGCAAAGGTTCCTCTTTTCCCCCACGTAAGCGAATTAAGCTATATAATAAGTATACGGATTGGAAACTTTTTAGTTCAGTTATGGATAAGGATCTTAGACTCTTAATGTCATCAGAACAACCTAGTCCTACAGTTTTATATTCATCGTTTTTGGCGATTGTGGAAAAGGTTTTGGTGGAGGCTTTCCCGGGAGATCCTCGTAACCCTCCTCCTTCTCCCCCTCACCCTCCTTGTATTTGGTGGACTGAGGAGTGTGATGCTCTAGTAGCCGAGAGAAAAACAAAATTACAAATTTTTCTGGAAACAGGTAGGGCTACGGATTACGAATCTTACAGGAATCAATGTACTGTGACAAAGAAGGGTTTAAAAAGGATTAAACTTGAAGATTTTAAGAAATTTGCAGAATCTCTTAGAAGGGATACGAATCCTAAAATAGTTTGGGACACTATGAAGAGATTTGATTCTAGATGGAATCGAACTGAGACGGGTAAAGCTGTTCCAGTTGAAAAAATTGAGAGTGTCCGTAATCAAATTGGCGACCTTTTCCCCCCGTGGGTTCCCCCGCCCCCTCCCATCAATTCCCTTAATTCTCCGGGGACAGACCCCTTTATGGATTTACCTTTTCTTCCTGAGGAGCTTGATTGGGCCTTGGAGTCGGTGAACATTAGGTCTAGTCCTGGACTAGATGGTATTGATTACAGGATTATTAAGAATTTCTCCCCTTTAGGCAGGTCTTTTCTTCTTAGAATCTACAATCTCCTTTATGAGGAGGGTAGTTTTCCCGAGGAGTGGAGGGACTATCTGGTCTTTTTTATCCCGAAGCAAGGTTCCAATAATAAGTTCAGACCTATATCGCTCTCATCGTGTCTATGTAAGGTCATGGAGAGGCTAGTGACTAATAGGCTTCTTTAGTGGCTAGAGGTCAACAAGCTCATTCCGGATTCGCAGTACGGGTTTAGGAGACAAAGAAGCTGCCTTGATAATTTGACAATTTTATATACTGATATCTTGACAGGGTTTGAGGAGAAGAGAGCCATTCCCGCTGCGTTTCTAGATGTAAAATCAGCCTATGATTCGGTTCTCCCGGATATTCTTATTGATAAATTGGCCTCTCTTGGCCTTCCCCCTCTTAGTAAGGCGTTTATTTATAATTCTGTCTCTTTTAGGAAGGTTTCATGCTGTTTCCATGAGGTGGATAAAAAAAGATTTGCCTGTCGGGGTCTTCCGCAGGGTAGCGTTTTGAGCCCCATATTATACTCTATATATGTTAGTCATATAGAAAGATTGATACAGAATGATGTGCACTTACTTCAATACGCGGACGATATTAGCCTTTACTCATCCTCCCCATCGGTGACAATCGGTATCAGAAATCTGGAACGTGCCATTAGACAAATTGAAAGGGGATTGAAAGAAATCGGATTGGTACTATCTCCGCTAAAGACTCAATTTTGCGTTTTCAATAAGACTAGAACGAAAATCAATACTCCTCTGAATGTTTCGGGTGTAGTTATTTACCCTTCTGAGGTAATATCTTTCTTGGGAGTCATTTTT